TCGCGTCGCCCCATCAAGCTCTAGCTGGATCCGCTCCTCTGCTATCAACGAGAGGAACGTCTGTTCTTCCGCAACATATAACAAAACTTTTTGGTTGTTAAAAAAAGGCGCGCTCGTTCAAAACAGTTGCGTTCGATCCTTCGCTGGCTGTGCTGATTTAAATCTAGCGATTCTGTTGTGTTTGTGTTGCAAGTTCAGTGACGCAGGTAGTGGCGATTTTCTCCGGCCAATCCGTGATCAGCAGAGTTTACACGTCACGTTTTGGTAACGGTACGGTTCACTTGGAACCCCAACCGAGGTGGTACTAAAAAAAGTACCAAGTACCAGGTACTGTACCCAGTGGAAAACCCCCAAAAAGTGAACCGTACCGAGCCGTACCATGCAGTGGAAAAGCGCCATTAGATACAGGCATTGGAACCGCTGCCTCCTTGCAGCAGATCTCTGTGTGCAATAGAGCAATTCCTCCCACTGTTTTGACGCATTTACACATTTAATAAGCTCTTTGTGAGTTATGAGCTAGTAAAAATACCACCATATGTACACACATACATTGATCACATTTCAGCCCAGCACACAGTATTGTTTTGGATGTTTGGAAAAGTTTGATCCAAAGTTTGATCGTTGCGTTACTTTCGTGAATGTGTGTCGAATTCTAACAAGGAAGTAGGCCTGTCGCAATAATCAAAATATCGACTTATCGCACAATATATGTACATGACCTCAATAATTTTTGGTGACGCAATATATCGCCCATTATATTTACTTAAAAATTAATGTCACCATGTTTTGTACATTCCACTTGCGCCTGTGTCTTTTGCAGCTTCTCGTACATAACGTGGTGTAGTCATGAGGAGCTAGTTCAAATTTAAAAAATGCTTCTACAAAAAAAGTTTCATCTGCAGAAATGGTCTTGTTTAGGGATCTGTGCCTTTGTGCATACGGACATCTGACTGCTAAGTAGTGATTGTGTTTTTCAGCAATAGTGTGCACCCTTCATTTACAGAGAAAAGAAGGTCAGGGAAAAATCTGTAGATGGAAAAATCTGCATACAAGTTCTTTGTGCATTTTTCTTTTTTTCTACTTTTCACTTTTTGTTAGAAAATGTTTATTTACTATTTATTCAGGTTTTTTAAGGCATCTAATATTTTGATACTTAATTTCCATGATCTAAATATTCTTAAAAATTTAAAGTTTGTTGTCATTTGGAAGGGTGTAGGCCTTCTTGCATTATTATGCTGTTACATTATGATTATATATTCAGTGGCATAAAATGGTCTTTAGAATGACAATAATATCGTTTATCGCAATAATTTCTAGGGCAATATATCGCACAACAAAAAGTTGTTATCGTGACAGGCCTACACGGAAGAGAACACATTTTTGAATAAAGTCATTATTTTTGTTTTCTTTGTGCACAAAAAGTGTTCTCATAGCTTCATAAAACTACAGTTGAACCACTGATGTCATATGGACTATTTTAACGATGTCCTTACTACGTTTCTTGGTATCTGCGTTGCTGTCTATGAAAGGTCAGAAGGCTCTCGGATTACATCAAAAACATCTTAATTTGTGTTCCGAAGATGAACGAAGGTCTTATGGATTTGAAACGACATGAGGGTGAGCAATTATTGACAGAATTTTCATTTTTGGGTGAACTATCCCTTTAATCATCGGACAGTAATCATATAGGCCTATAGGCTGAGATTCCAATTTTCTGTAATACACATTATTTAATCTTTAATTGTGCATTTCAAAAATCATCGTCCCTGCTCTACGTGAACGTAGGCCTATACACAAGATATAAACTCAAAGTTTAACTCCAGCAGCAAAGCAAATACACTTAAAGACCACCATTCATAATTTGTTTAGCAAAAAACTGGCAGGAATGACTGAAATTATTCAGGCCTACTGGAGCAGACCACTGGGGTGAGAGATTGAGGGTCCCTCGCTTTACATGTTAACCTAATTATTTAGACAAAAAGCTGCTTCTGAGCCAACGATCGTACAAAAAGAAACAAATTTCAAAGTGAGCAGCAAAAGGGCAGCGCGCATATCAGCGGTGAACAAAAAAAAGAGCAGACCCACACACACACATAGCTGGCCTATCATCCATCCTGCTGAGACCGAGCGGTGCACAGTGGATTGCGGATCTCTTTTATCTCGCACCCCAGACTTAACCTCTGCTGTACACCTGTGGGGGATGGGGAATAGAGAACGGTGAATCTATGGATGAAAGAGAGAAAGTGGCCAGACAAACTCGAGGTTGCAAAAAACAGCCTCTAATGACTCATGAACTGAACAGCCTAACAATAAGCTCCTCTTGAGCCTGCACTTAAAACAGAGGCTTTCAAATGCTCCATTATCCTCATCTAAACAAGGCTGAACCTTACTTTCAGATTAAAGGCCATTTTCTGATTAAATTTTCATTCGAAAAAGACATTTACATGCTCAACAGCCATTGGAATATTCCTGCATAAATGTAATAAGAACAAACTAAAGGGGCGACCAAACTGCACTTTTCCATTTATACACATGCGAATGTGGAAGACTGGAAACAAGCTTTCGTCCTGTTTCAAAGGTCAAGTCTAGTGAAAAAATTCATATCACATGATTAAGTGTGACTAAAAGAAAATCGATATGTCAAAGCATGATCATCCATTCATACTTTATAGGGTTGGAAATAATGGAAATAATGAAGATGCTCTTTACATTTTATGCTGAATTCCAGTCATTTTGAACAGCAATCTTATCAACCCATTAATTCTCACTCATCTGCGAGTTATGTAAAACAACAGTAAATATTTGTAAAAATAATAGTAAAACAAAATATCACTCACTATCTGACATTACTCAGATTTACTGTGGTTTTACTGTAGGCAAATATAAATTGACATTCATTTACGGTGGGGATTCTGAAGGTCCAAGAAATTATTTCTAGGTTTCTAGAAACCAGAGTATCTGCTTAACTAACGCGTTTATACTTTTAAAATCACAATATGACCAACTTACGATTAATGTTTTAATATTATTATGCATTTAACCAGTAAATTACATTAACACATCATCAATAATCAGGTTAATGATTGATATTTAGATCAATTTGAGTTCCACTTTTACATTCGGATGCCTACATCTTTGAATACGTTGGTACATCCTAGCCACTAAAGATCTGATCTTATATCAGTTATTGTGAGATCACAATTTTAAAGCATTTCTCAGGACGGCTTCCAAAGCAGGTTTTCCACTTTAGTCTTGTGATCAAGGAGTGCCTCTATAAACCAGGACCGACCCTGGTTTACAACCAGACTGACCCAGACCAAATGGCTCCAGCTGCATTGCTCATAAGATCTTGTAAACCATCCTCCAATCTGACAGTGTTTACATATATGACAGTGGCTTTAAGACAAATCACCCAAATCCACGGCCAGACTGCACTACACGATCTGAGCCTTTTAATCAACTTCCTTCAGACATAATCACAGGATAATAACCTCTGTTTCTCCAGGCCAGCATGCACACACGTGTATTGAATACACTGGAGAAGAAATAGGAGAGTCACAGTAAAAAAACAACGATATGTAGAGATGAGACCTGCAGCCATGTGTGGAGATGAGCTGAAGAGGCTGGTTTAAAAATGCCCCCATCAGGGTATCTTCATCTGCACTCCATCACACAGTTGGCTAACTCACTGTTTCTACACCCTACATACAACACACATTACCTCAGCACTCTCAAGGTCCAGAGAGTCCACTATATCGGTGAGTTTTACCTCAGAAATTCAGTTTTTAACCTGCTGTCAGTGATAACACAGCAGCAACCGTTAGCCGTGTGCTAGTAAATCAGAGCTGAGCTTTAGCTGCAATCTCTTGCGTGGCCTCCTTCCACGAATATACGACTAGAGGAGGGTATTATTACAGTTACCGAAGCGAAAAGACGGTTGAAGTGACCGTTGCCTTGTGCTAAACAGCATAACGTTACTCTTAACGTAAATTCGCACGAAGCGCGCCCTGAAATGCAGCGGCCGCGGTCACTGTCAAAAAAAGGACAATCGGCCCGAGACACACAAACACTCTTACCTCATCATTCAGTTTCCATTATATCTCCAGCACTCTGTGAGGGAACACGCTAGAGGAGCATGGGAGGGCAGATGGAGGACTCTTCTTTCTTCTTTTTTTAACGTGCGAGATAAATTCCAGGCTTATTTCGTTGCTCCTTCTAGCTCCTCGTTTCTTTCCTTGCAGCTTCGCGAGTAGTGAAGTAAAGAGGGGGGGAATGAAACGTGCGCAAGTCTCTCGTCTGCGCGTTTACTGCAGACAGGGGGCGCTATGCGGCCCAACCCAGTAGAAAGTCAGTAGTGTTCTAAGATTCAATGTATTGACAACTAGACAGTTTATTATTAGCGGAATGGAAATAAAAAAAAACTTTTTTTCTCCACATGTACAGTAAAGTAGACAACATATGTTCAGTATTTTTATTAGTAATATTTCTACGGTTATTAAAGTAAATGACTTCACTCTTAATCAGCACACTAATATCAGTTATTTCTCGGCTAACTACGAATCGGTCCGAAAGTTCTAGCTTCACGTGAGAGTCGTTCACTCGAAGAACGAAGAACGGCCTTGACAGATTCAACAGATTCATTTTAAAAGAGCGATTCGTTTACGATTCAGGCATTGCTAGCTCAGAAAGCTGAGCCCATGGACTTCTCAGGACGTTACTGTTGTGTTTTCATTTACTATTAGAAATAAAATGTTACATTTCTTAGATTTTTTTCATTATTTCTTGATTTAAAATGTATTAATATTATTTAGATTACTTCGGTCTCTGTATTTTAGATCCACTGAGGACATATATTTAGTGGAAATAAACAAGTGGTTATCTAACCTAATCCCTCACATCGGATGAGATGTTCTCGTTTCCCTTCTATGCGTTTATATTTGAGTCACGTGCAGGAAATGAACAAAACACTACCGCAGTCGTCTATATGTTGGTAGGTTCTAAAATACTCTTGCATGCAAAAATATTATATAGCGTAACATAAGAAGATATTATTACACCGATCTTGATGCTTTAAACAGAGAATCGCGATAGGGATATTGCAAAGTAAAACAAGTAGCTCGGTTAGTATGCAATCGTATTCTGCATGATTTGGATCTTATATTCTTTAACTTGCACAGTTCAAGTGCAAGCACACACAAAATGTGGTGAATTTCTTTAGAGAGTGTTCTGTATTGCATATTATTATAATAATAGTATTAATACAGTAATTCATTCAGCTTGTTGCTGTTGCTTGTGTTAATCTTTCATTGGTTATCGATTCATCTGATTACAGAACAGCTAGAATTGCCATGAAGGGACTTTACTGCAAACCAGGAGACCAGGGTGATGTGAAGTTTGTCTCACAGGAGACGGTGAGAGTGCATGATCAGGCTTTTGCATTTTCTGTTGCATGCATTTACATAGCCACAGTTTCCTGGAGAAATCTGCAATGATCAATTCGTACTAAATGCATGATGTCTGCTGTTTTCTTTCACAGAATGTACCCACTAACATTGGCGACCATCAGGTCAAAGTTCAAGTGAAAAGCTGTGCACTAAGTCCAGTTGATTTTAAGGTAATTTAATTGTCAACATCTGGTGATTTGATGTGAATGACCTGCAGAAAAGCAACTGGGTATATAATAGCAAATCTCAAAGCATGTGTCTCATATGGACATTATGTAGGCAAAGATCACCCTTATTTCACAAACTGTGTTTTACTTTCATACAGAATATTTGCATTCATGATCTGTTTTTCAGCTGTATGAGGACCTCAAGCTTGAGAAAGAACATGTCCCAGTTGGAAGGGAGATTGCTGGGGTTGTTCTTCAAGGTTTACATGACTTCTTGTATATTTGACACCATTTACCATCTAATCAAATAAATTTGACTGATACATCTGATGTAATGCGATCATTTTCCAGTTGGACCCAAAGTGTCCTTTTTCCAGCCAGATGATGAGGTTGTTGGTAAGAACTTTATTAGACTCTCATTTTTATCAGAGTCTGCTTTATATGTGTATAATCAAATAAACATTTGCATGTCATCTCAGGGATTCTCCCTCTGGAGGCTGAGCAGTCTGGCCTTTGTTCTGTTGTGGTTACTGATGAATATAATTTAGGTATTGCACACATCACGGTATAGACAATAGTCCTACCTAGTTCCTTAAAGATACACTAACTTTTGTATTTCCCATATGCTTCTGTTTTAATAACAGTTCAGAAGCCTGAGAAAGTGAGCTGGTTTGAAGCAGCAGCAGTAATTAAAGACGGTCTCAGGGCTTACACTGCTCTCCACACACTGGCTCGGATGGCTGCGGGTCAGACTGTACTGGTGCTGGATGGGGCTGGTGTAGGTATCTGTGCAGAGGTCAAAAGGTCAAAAACCTTCCTGATGCTTGCCTCCTATTAGTATATACTCTACTGTTCAGATTAGGGGTTGGTAAGATTTATTTTTTCCCGGTCAGTTTTGTCATTCTGATATTTTGAAAATGGATTTTGTTGTTATTATTTAACTATTTTCTCACATCAGAATCAACATGGTACTTCTACAAGCATTATTTGGCTCCCTATTTTCTCAAATCATTGTCATCAACTTCCTGTTTTGTGTGCATGCAGCCCTTTGGAGTTCTGGCTATTCAGCTCGCCAACTATCACGGTGTGAAAGTCCTGGCTACAGCTTTGTCTCCGGAGGACCAGAAGTTTTTGGAAGAGCTCCGTCCGAGTGTGGGTGGGTGCTGAAGTGAAGCATTGTGGAGAGGAATGACAGCGAAGACATTTTCCCCATGAAGTTTAGGATGAAGTTCAAGCTTGGTTTGACTAAGCGCTTCCCTGGCAGTGTAGATTTATGAAACACTTGGCATGTGTTGTTCTGAAAATCCCTGAAAAACGCCAAACAAACGGAAATGCCAAATGGAGCAACTCTCTTTTAATCTTCAGTTGTTATCTCTTGTAAAGTTTACCTCTTATTTCCGGAGCATATGAAAAGCATCACACTGGGATCATTTTATGTACAAGTGGAAAGTCTAAAATCTATTCAAGTCTAATCGAATGTAGAAATCTTTAAGTTTGGATTGTCGCCGAGGGCATTTTCTCATACTTCAAAGATGTGTTGTAATGCTGGCAGTTCAGAGTTTCTAACCCCATCCTTTACTCTGGAAATCAAAACTGATTTCATTTGTCGTAGATTTCTGTCTTTCTTTAAACTCACTCATATTGATTGCCAAACCTTTTCTGATAGTGCCTTTCTCATCTTTTCACTTCTCCCTTGAGCATCTTTTTGACGTTCTTGGCTATTTGACTTTCTTTTTCATCTTGTTTCTTCCTTGTGCCACTTGCACTTGCTCAAGGTGTGCAGGAATCACTTTTGGGTAAGTTATTTATGGCGGCAGTGTCTTCTATAAGTATTCATTCAGGCTATCATATTCACATAAGCCTCACAACAAATCTATTCTTTGAGAATAGTCATTCGGTATATGCACTCTCAGCTTGATATGCTTAATCAGTGTTAATAAGATTTATTGTAAGCATCGGTACTTAAGTGTATCTCTTCCTTCAGCTCGAGTGATCAGAGTGTGGGGCTCAAAGGAGGATTTGGTGGACTCGTGCCTTGAAGAAACTGGAGGTCTTGGAGTGGACATCATCATTGATTCAGGAGGTTTACCATCACTTTATATGACGTTTGTAACCATTTCAACAAAGTGGTCTCATATGTGCTTTTAATTATTTATATTAATACTGATCTTCTGTCCATTAAGCAGTTGTGTTGCAATATCAATTTATTATTTAAATGCTGGGAATACATATTTTACTGTTCAAAAGTTTGGGGTTGGTAAGATTTTTAATGCTTTTGAACAAAGTCTCTTATGTTCACCGATGCTGCGTTGCTGGGGAAGTCGTGGCCTAATGGTTAGAGAGTCGGACTTGTAACCCAAAGGTTGTGGGTTCGAGTCTCATACCGGCAGGGATTGTAGGTGGGGGGAGTGAATGTACAGCGCTCTCTTCCACCTTCAATACCACGACTGAGGTGCTCTTGAGCAAGGCACCGAACCCCCCACTCCTCCCAGGGCGCCGCAGCATAAATGGCTGCCCACTGCTCGGGGTGTGTGTTCACTGCTGTGTGTGTGTGCACTTTGGATGGGTTAAATGCAGAGCACTAATTCCACTAAACACGTCACATCACTTTATTTGATCAAACTACAGTAATATTGTGAAATATTTTTAATTTTGTTTTTATTTTAATATGTGATGGCAAAGCTGAATTTTCAGCAGCCTTTATTCCAGTCTATACTGTCACATGATCCTTCAGAAATGATTTAAATATGCTGAAGAAACGTATTATTTATTATGTTGAAAAAGTTGCGTTGATTAATATTTTTGTGGAAACATTCTACAAATAGGATACTTTTTTTTCCAGGATTCTTTAATGAATAGAAAGTTCCAAAGAGCAGCACTCATTTGAAATAGTTTTTTATAACAATGTAAGAGTCTTTACTGTCATAAATGTAAAGACCTTGCTGTTACTTGCTGAATAAATGTATTATTTTTATTGTAAAAAATTGTATTGACCCCAAACGTTCAAAAGCTCTCATCTTTTTAAGTGGGAGAACTTGCACAATTGGTGGCTGACTAAATACTTTTTTGCCCCACTGTACATGCTCATTTTCAATCAGCAGTCTCTGATTTTGAGCCTTTTTTTTTTTTTGTGAACAGTGAGACTCTATGAGGAGCCAGAAGCACAGAGGCATTGCCCACATAAACATGACCTCCTTACCCTTCTTTCAGTTGGAGGTCACTGGGTCACCACAGAACAACACTTACAGGTTAGCAATAGCAGCTTCTTCAAAACACAGCTCACTGAGCTCTTTTGTATTCCTAAACATTCAGCATTTTTTGTCCTCATATAAATCAAATATTGACTAGCAGGATCAATCTTTACACTTATATACATTTAATAAAATCATTTTATCCTCTTTTCCAAGCTGGACCCTCCTGACAGCCACATTCTCTTCCTGAAAGCAGCATCGCTCTCGTTCCTTAACGACGAGGTGTGGACAACATCCCGTGCCAAGCAGGGCCGATATCTTCGTATCTTTTACTATAAACTACATTAGCCTTTAACCAAACACTGCCTTCTGATTGGTCGTTGTATAACAAACAATTCAAGCTTCAGCTTTGTTTATCAGCCTTGAAATATCAAATACTCAATGTTTCCAGCTCAGTCTAGTATCATTTATATTTATGTATTAAGCAGATGTTTTTATCTAAAGTGTCTAATACAGTAGACACATTTTGTTTTGTATGTTACTTGCCATGAAGGCTAGTCTCAACATAGACCCATCAACATGACTCTGGCCCTTATTCTTTACACAAAACACTGCTTTACTCTCTAGTGGAATGAAGAAAAGAGATCTGACTAGATGGTATCAGAACCATTTTTTGTGAAACCGCTATATGTTGCAATGAGGTCACTGGGTTCCTGAGTGTGCATATGGCTAGTCCATGACAGTTTGATGTATCTGAGACCCGAAGGTTTTCTCCCAGTGTCCTCAGGCTACTGGAACAACCTTGTCAACAACATAAAGGACATGTGGTTTCCTGTTTGTAACTGGGATATTTGCCTTTAGTCTGCTCTCTCTCTCAGATATCCTGAAAGATGTGATGGATAAACTCTGCACAGGGACTTTCAGGTGGGAATGAGGAATAAACAGATCTCTTTGTTGTGTGAATGGTGTTGAATTTGACTGTTGTCTCTGCACAGGCCGCAACTGGAGGACCCTGTGCCTTTATATGAAGCTACAGTCTCCATGGAAATGGTACAGAGAAAGCAAACAAGGAAAAGAATAGCTGTCAAGCTTTGAAGAGGGCTCAAAATGTGTTTTCCGTAATTCTGTCAATTTAGTTGTTGTTATAAATCTCATATTTTTGTCAGTTGCACTTTTAATGGATTGTTGGCATTTAAAAACATTCAAATTCTTTAAATGGAATGGAAATCAGGTCATTCCAAAAAACATGTATCACAAAGCAAATAGTATTTACATTATACAAAAAAAGTGTGTGTATATATATATATAAACTTTTGAAATTATTTACATAAAAACATTTTTTCTTAGGAACTTTGGCCTAGTTATGACATCTGTATATGTGATTTTCCCTTGTCAAGCATTCCCAATGGATTATTAACAGCACCATCTGATCCCATTTCTTTTGCCTATTAATATGGGCAGATCTGTATAGAAAAGGACTGGATGATGCTGACCTAGAATTCGGCATCATTGTTCAGAGGTATGTAGTTGATTATCAGTAGTCTCCTACCAGAAACACAGCATGTAGCTCATTTGCTTTCAATAGAAGATTTGTGTTTGTTAAGATCTCATTGTCCTAAATGTCCCATCATCTTCCTGTCCACCATATGTCCCAAACTGTCAATCTAGGAGAAAAACAATGATTGAAGCTTAGAAATCCCACACGGTGGAGCATTATATAGGGATATTTCACCTCTCATCATTTATTCACCCGCAAGTCGTTCCAAATCTGTATGATGTAATTTCAGGGAACACAAAAGGAGATTTCACACTGATAATTTCCATGCAGTGAAAAGTGAATGGGGGACAGTGAACATCGAACAACTGTTTTAATTTAGATTTTATATTTTTAGTTCTCATTTTATTTTAGCTTAAGCTTTATTAATTGATGTGCTTTTGACATTTTTATTTTATTTGATCTTGAATTTATTTTCATTTTTAGTCATTTTAGAACTTCAACTAATTTTTAGTTAGTTGGCCGTTGCAACATTTCTTCTTTCTAATAACAGCACTGATAGAAAAGTGCAGCATGAACATTCTTCAAAATGTCTCCTTCTGTGTTCCACAGAAGAAAAAGTCATAAGGGTGAGTAAATGACAGAATGTTCAATTCTGAGTGAAGTATTCTTTTAAGTATTTTGGACTCCCTGCAGTTTTGGAGGTGATTCAGTTAAGAGCTGTAGCACAAAGCTGAACCATATCTGCTTGCTCTTGGCTTATGTTTGAATCTTGGCAGTGACAGCATGAGGCTTCTGGTTCCTCAGTGTTCCGAATGCCCTACTGTTACCACAGTGACTATTGTCCCCAGAGGTTTTGAAGAACCACTCGTGTGTGTTCCAGAATCCTTTGCTCCTCTTGTCTCAGGCTCTCAACCACACACAGTTGTTCAAGGAGAGACAGGTTTGCCCCCTTTTTGAGCTTTGATAGCTGTACAAATGAAAAGACTCAGACTGTAAGTGGTTTTGTATCTTTAATTAGACACAGGCAGCATTAAGAATGAATAGATTTAATTAGACTCACCCTCTCTAGTGCCTTGACATTGTCACTGTTGAGGTTATTGCAAAGCTTTAGGGCAGAGTGAATGCACCACTCTTCTCTATCCCGGCTCACTGCTGCCCCCAAGAGGACACTCTTCCAACAAGAACTACAGACAACGGCATTAAAGTCAGTTTTGAATGTATTCAAATAAATGGCATAAAATAAACTATATGCAAGTAAAAGCAATAACAATGACATGTATTTTGCATTATCATGCAGTCAAATTCCATGCATGCAAATAATGCGTTTAGGATGTTAACTTCTCACTATTGCTCAGGTTTTAAGGACAGCAGTCTCAGTGCAGTCATCAGTCGCCAGGAAGGGCCATCCATCCCAAACGTTAAGTTTCTGTTGAAGAGTGAAAGCAAATGGAACTTGATTTTTGTTGTGAATTTAAGTCAGTTTAAAATGAGCTCTTATCATGAACCGCAACATTACACATACAATTTTAAGAACAATAGCGTGCAATATTTTATATTACTTGCCTTAAAAAATCATTGTCCCTTAGATAGAGTAGTTTTTGTGTTAGCTGTTTGTCTTTTTCATCTAGACAGAATTTTAGAGTTCCTACAATAACAACAAACAGCGATCAATGCAGTTCCATAGTATTTAATATTTGCATGTAGAATATTTAATATTTGTATGTATTTTCCTTACCTAAATCAACATATACTACACTGTGGGGGTTACCAGAGGCAACAAAGCCATATTCCAGAAGTAGTCTGTTATTATCATGAGGGCCGTAATTGATGAGCGCTTGCTGGAACTTCTTACAGCCTTGAACACTTTTAACTTCGTAACAGCGAGTTTGTTTGTTAAAGCCAGCTTCAACCTGCACAGCAAGGAAAGTTTATAGTCTTTACTTACAGTTCTAACTATGCAATTTTATTGTTTTGTAGGAAAGTACACTACCACTCAAAAGTCAGTTTTTTTTTTTTTGAAAGAAAATAATACTTTTATTCAGCAAGGATGCACTAAATTGATCAAAAGTGACCGTAAAGACATTTTTATTGTTACAAAAGATTTTTTTTTTTTTTCCAAATAAATGCTGTTCTTTTAAACTCTATATTCATCCACGAAAGTATCATGATTTCAACCAAAAATATTAAACATCACAACTGTTTCAAATACTGATAATAATAAGAAAAAATGTTTTTGGAGCAGCAAATCTGCATATTGGAATGATTTCTGAAGGATCATGTGACACTGACTGAAGACTAGAGTAATGATGCTGCAAATTCAGCTTTGCATCACAGAAATAAATAAAATTTAAAATTATATTCAAATAGAAATTAGTCATTTTAAATTGTAATAATATTTCACAATATCACTGATTTTACTGTATTTTTTAACAAATAAATGCAGCCTTGGTGAGCATAAGAGACTTCAAAAATCAAATTTTTTTTTACAGACCTTAAACTTTTGAACAGTAGTGTATTTCTGTTAGGTGCTCTTACTTGTACATTAGGACAGTGGTTCAACAGGTCCAGGTACGGTGCAAGCGCATAGATATCCTTCTCCCTGGAGAGATAGTCACTCTGATCATGCTCCATGTACACCGTACGTGTATTAATGCTAAACCAAGCCCACCGCAGTGCATCCTGGGTAAACAACTCCTCTGAGGGCTGGGTGAAGAGTGGCTGGAGGGAGTGGAAAAACATCAATGAAGAACAGTAGAGTTCCTGAAACTGTTCTTTCTGCTCGTCGGCTTTCTTCTGGAGACTCCTCGGCAGAAGGTCAATGATATCATCACGGAAGTACACAGGGCATGTGTAGGTCTTTGGGAGGATATTAATGTAGGGACTCCACTCTGATGCATCTCCACGATGTCTCTCAGCAATCAGGAAACAACAAAGAGCAAGAAGAGGAGATACAGGAGGATGCCATCTACAAGTAGAAAAAGAGAGAAACCAAGAACAAATACACTATTGATCCCTCATGGTCCATTTAAAAAAAATGTAATAGCACAACAGTATGTATGTATATATTTTATATATATATGAGATAGATTTTTTAAATGTAATGTAATACAATATTACAATCAGTCCAAAATACCTTTTTATATAGTCACCCATGTAACTCTTGAGAACTGTCTCGGTGGTCAGGAAGCATTTCTCAGGCAAGGAAATCACACTGTCTTTGGCCTGCAAAGGTAACAAATAAACATATTTTCAATGTGGTTTCAGATTTTGGACCTATGCACATATGCATGCGCGCGCACACACACACACACACACTCATACAAATAATTACCTTGATAGTTTGATTTGCCATAAGCCCTCTTCCAGTATCTAAGGGGGGGGAATATAAGAGTTAGTAACTACTACGTGTGAAAATGTATTTTTCAAGCTCTCTACCATTGAAACTGTCTACTTGCCATGGAAGTTGACAGGGATGAGAGTCTGTGAGGTGAATCCTTTTCCTTTTAGCCATCTCCTCAAAACAACAAACTGAGCTTCGTGAGTCAGAGTCACTACAGGAGTAAAATACAAATAAAACATTCATTTAAACTTCATATACTATACTACACTACAATGTATCAGCATAGAAACTGAATAACTAACCTTTGTATACATCCTCGTGTTTTTCCCGTCTTTTTTTCCTCGCTCTTCTCCCAGCGCGGCAGCCAGGTTTATTCATCTTAAAGCTTCCATATAACGGCACTACCTAAAGCTTATATCGGGTGTAATGTCATTCTATTCCGCAGTTAGAAACAAAATCCACATCCACATGGTCAAAAACACAGCCGGATCACGTGCTTCAGGCGTCGTTACGTCACTGTCTTCGAACGTATAGAAAATTTAAATAAATATTTTCGTAAAAAAAAAAAAGATTTACAGCTCATAACTGTTGCTATATCAGCAAGCAAAACTTAATGCACATGACATAGACATCAACAGCAATCCTTTATATAAGCGTATTCCTACGCGCATGCGCAGTCAGTAGCGACGCACACCAAAAAAACAAACAAAAGTGAATTGATCACCGCGGAGTAGAACAGGTACGAGTTTTCTTTTAATCATGCATACGTTTCCCAAATGCATTTAATGTCGTTATTTTATCAGTTAGGCTGCTGTTTATGTCACGGAATACGGTCTTATTTTCAGTTTCTCTTCCACTGCAGACACATCGCAGCAATGAACAGCAGTAAAGTAGCTCTGGTCACTGGTGGAAATAAAGGCATCGGCTTCGCAATCGTGCGGGCAATGTGCAAGGATTTCGCCGGAGACGTGTACCTGACAGCTCGGGATGTCGGTCGAGGAACCGCTGCTGTGGACAGTCTGAGGAAGGAGGGGCTGGCACCGCTCTTTCAGCGGCTGGACATCAACGACCCCGACAGCGTCCGCTCCGCGCGGGACTTCTTCACAGAGAAGTACGGCGGCCTCGACGTGCTCGTCAACAACGCTGGCATCGCCTTCAAGAGTAAATCATTTAATCAGAAATTAACTCTTGAACCTATTCATTGCCAATGAAGTGAAATTACTGAACCTACACACAGAAGAAGCCTGATAAAAATGCTCATTTTAGAAGAAAATTTTAAACGACACTAAGAGGCTTTTGCATCTGAACTCAGTGTATACACACACACACACACACACACACACACGCAAATATTATATAAAACTCTTATTTTCTACAGTTATTACAGTTAAAAACAGAGCACAGGTAGTTAAAATCCAATGCATGGAAGGCAGATTGGAAGCATCTGGTGGGAGAAATAACAAAAATCATATATAATATAATGGTTAAACTACCAGATGCCTGAATAATATATAAATATCCCTACAATTATGTGACCCCGGACCACAAAACCAGCCATAAGTGTCAATTTTTTTTAAAATTGAGATTTAGACATCATCTGAATAAATAATAAATAAGCTACCCATTGATGTTTGGTTTGTTAGGATAGGACAAATTTTGGCCGAGATACAACTATCTGGAATCTGGAATCTGAGGGTGCAAAAAAAAAAATCTAAATATTGAGAAAATCACCTTTAAAGTTGTCCAAATGAAGTTCTTAGCAATGCATATTACTAATCAAAAAATTACGTTTTGATATATTTTCGGTAGGAAATTTACAAAATATCTTTGCTTAATATCCTAATGATTTTTGGCATAAAAGAAAAATGTATAATTTTGACCCGTACAATATATTGTTGGCTATTGCTACAAATATACCCCAGCGTCTCATGACTGGTTTTGTTGTTCAGGGTCGCATATGTGTATTGCCTAGTTACTTATAAGAATATTTTCAGATGTAATTTCTTCATTTTATTAGGCTTGCGTTTGTATACTGTATATATTTAAACATGATCAAAAAACTACTTGATTTTAGCTGATTTTTAGATTGTACCCCTAAAAATGGCTCCGTATGTTTTTGCATTTTCCATTCATTTGAAATGGTGGCTTTTTCTAGTCACATCCATGCTTTTTGTGTTCATATAGCAAGTCCCACAAAATCACAAAAAGACCACAAGAAGTGTTAAGATGCTTTCATAAATGAATCTACTGTGTTATGTGAAATAAAAACATTAACAATGCTTTATTTCTTCATGGCAGTGGCAGACACGGCCCCCTTTGGCATCCAAGCAGATGTGACATTGAAGACTAATTTCTTTGCTACTAGAGATATGTGCAATGTGTTCCTGCCCATTGTCAAACCAGGAGGTAAGTCATGTCAGTTACACCTTGCAGAACCTGCTTGTCTGGTGATTTTCTTCCCTCAAACACTCATATTTCTTTCTAGGTCGGATGGTGAATGTCTCCAGCGTAATGGGCTCGGTGGCTTTAAGCCGCTGCAGTCCAGAACTCCAGGCCCGTTTCCGAAGCGATGACATTACAGAGGAAGAGCTAGTTGGGTTGATGGAGCAATTCGTCCGTGACGCTCAGGATGGGCGTCACGCAGAGCAAGGTTGGCCTAGCACTGCATATGGGGTCTCCAAAACTGCCCTCACCACCCTGACTAGAATCCTGGCCCGAAATCTGACAAAAGAGAGGCCTGGAGATGAGATCCTATGCAATGCCTGCTGTCCAGGATGGGTCAGGACTGACATGGCTGGACCAAATGCAACCAAGTCACCAGATGAGGGCGCCGTCACTCCAGTGTACTTGGCATTGCTGCCTGCTGGGGCTAAAGAGCCCCATGGGCAGTTTGTTTCAGAGAAGAAAGTGCAGCCATGGTGAGAGCTAGAAAGAGTAATCGTGTGCGTTTGTGTCGCAAAGCAAGTTCAGACACACCAGAGTGAACCATCAAGATTTAGATAGGCTATTTCTAGAAAGTTTTGGGCTGAACCCAGACTGAACCCTTGACAGAAGACTTTAGGTATTCCAAAAAGTTACAATAGGCATTGTGTACTTCGTTTTTGTAAATATTACACAAAAAGCTTTAAAATTTGATCAAGGTTTTGGTGATTGACCAATTGAATATCAGTTAACAACCAAAAATTATGTGGTCTTAAAGGAATAGTTCACCAAAAAAGTGGAAAATTACAGAAAATGTACTCAACCTGAGGTCATCAAAGTTGTTGGTGAGTTTGTTTCTTCATTGGAACAGATTTGGAAAAATTTTGCATTGCATCACTTACTCCCCAATGAATCCTCTGCAGTGAATGGGTGCCGTTATGATGAGAGTCCAACAGCTTTATGTTTGTTACAAACATGTAGCTTTTCAAGATTCATCAAGAATTGATGGACTGGAGTCATGTGCATTACTGGAATTAAGAACTCTTATTCAGTTAATTCAAGGGATTCACAGTGGTCTTATGTCATTAGCACTAAAAGCCTATAACATTAAACCAACACTGGAGTGCTGGGGCCCACTGCCCACTACAGAATAATTAAGGACACCTAATTGGCTTCTTGTAATCACTATACTTATCATGCTGTGAATCAACAATTTAAAGTAACTGTTTCCTATTTTAATATAAAATTGAATTTATTCCTGTGATGGTGAAGCTGAATTTTCTGCATAATCAGCATCCAGTCTTCAGTGTTACACAATCCTTCAGAAATCATTCTAATATGCTGATTTGCTGCTCAAGAAACATTTCTAATTATTATTGTTGAAAACAGTTGTGCTGCTTAATATTTTTAAAAACCGTGACGCATTGTTTTTAGGATTCTTTGATAAAAAGAAAGTTTAAAACAGTATTTATTTGAAATATAAATTTTATATATTTTTATTAGTCTTTACTGTCACTTTTGATCAATTAAATGCATCTTTGCTGAAAAGTATTAAGAAAATACTTACAGAAATGGATGGATTAAATGACTGACTTAAAAAAAAAAAAAAAAAGTATTTAAAACTTTTATTCAGAAAAGATTCATTATGTTGATCAAAAGTGACATTTATAGTGTTACAGAATATTTCTCTTTCAAATAATTGCTGTAAACTTTCAGAGATGTCTCACAAAATTTTCTTATGAATTTCACAAAAATATTAAGCAGTACAGCTGTTTTTACCATTAATAAAAATGTTCATTGAGTAGCAAATCAGCATATTAGAATGATTTCTGAAGGATTGTGTAACACTGAAGACTGGATGCTGATTATGCAGAAAATTCAGCTTCACCATCACAGGAATAAATTCAATTTTATATTAAAATAGGAAACAGTTACTTTAAATTGCAATAATATCTCAGTAGTACTGTTTTTGCTGTATTTTTGGATCAAATTACTGCAGCCTTGTTGAGCTATGAAAGCCCGTTTCTGCCACAGAATTAAAAAAAATGCAACTTTGTTTATCATAACTATTAACTACAGGCTGTCCATTCACTTAAGCTAATTTATTATTCATTTTAAGTACAGCAAGTAAAAGTGTGTTAAATGGACTTGTAATTACTGGTTGCTATAATTGCGAGAGAATTAAGAACTCTTATTCAGTTAATTCAAGGGATTCACAGTGGTCTTATGTCATTAGCACTAAAAGCCTATAACATTAAACCAACACTGGAGTGCTGGGGCCCACTGCCAGAATAATTAAGGACACCTAATTGGCTTCTTGTAATCACTATACTTATCATGCTGTGAATGAATGCAGCTGCTTATTAGTGTAAACTTTCGACCAGGTTAAGTAATCTCTTAATGAAAGTGTATGATCAGATGTGTGATATACTGCTGTGGATGTACTGTTCAAAAGTTTAGGGTTGGTACAATATTTTAAAAGTTTTTCAAAGAAATCTCTTGTGCTCTGCATTTATGTGATCAAAATGTATCAAAATATTATCACAGTTAAAAATAATTGTTTTCCATATTAAAATATTTTGAAATGTAATTTATTCCTGTGATGCAAAGCTGAATTTTCAGCATCATTACTCCAGTCTTCAGTGTCACATGATCCTTCAGAAATATTAAGCAGTACAGCTGTTTTTACCATTAATAAAAATGTTCATTGAGTAGCAAATCAGCATATTAGAATGATTTCTGAAGGATCGTGTAACACTGAAGACTGGATGCTGATTATGCTGAAAATTCAGCTTCACCATCACAGGAATAAATTCAATTTTATATTAAAATAGGAAACTTACTTTAAATTGCAATAATATCTCAGTAGTACTGTTTTTGCTGTATTTTTGGATCAAATTACTGCAGCCTTGTTGAGCTATGAAAGCCCGTTTCTGCCACAGAATAAAAAAAAATGCAACTTTGTTTATCATAACTATTATTTTTTTTAAATGAGAGTGTATCTCACAATTCATACTTTGTTTCGAGAAATAAATGTAGAACTGAAAGATATGAGCTCACAATTGCAAGTTTATAACTACATAGTTATACACTGCAATTCTGAGAAGAAAAGTCTGAATTATGAGACCTAAAGTCACAATTATCCTTTTAATTATTTTTTTTTAATTCCATAATGAAAACAAAAACAAACAAATTTGTGAGATGTAAACAAAAAAGTCAGTATTGTGAGGCAAAAAGTGTTTTTCAAAAGTGTTGAGGATGAGAGACTTTTTTCAAAAATAAAAACAAATCGTACTGACCCCAAGCTTTTAAAGAGTAGCTAGTGTGTAAATTGTGTTTTTTTTCAGGACCACAAATGTCGAGACTGAATTTGACTTTGACACAGAAAAGTATGACATTCTGATCAGGGCGAACATCAGTGACAAGAGCAACATGACCCCAGAAAGTGACCCCAGATGAGCAAGAATGTGGCATATGTATGATATGCAAACATTAGTAGAGGTCTACATTATCGTATCTTTGTTTTTATTAAAAGAGGCAAATATGTAAATTGGAGGACTGTTTGGTGACGGGTTAGGAGGAATATTGGTTCTTTATGTTTTTGTAATTGTAGGCATACTGTAGCATCTTATACCTGAAGCCTTGCATGCAAATCATTATTTGAGGGCAAAGAGTGAAGAGTCAACTGATATCCAAAAGTCTGGGTCATATTGCGCAGGACAACTACAGACCCTCATTCCTTGTATCCTTACAAAATATATTATTATAATTTTTTTTTTAGAGTGCACATACATATGTGACCCTGGACCACAAAACCTGTCATAAGGGTCAATTAAAAAAAAAAAATGTAATCTGAAAGCTGAATAAATAAGCTTTCCATTGATGTATGGTTTGTTAGGATAGGACAAACATTTGGCCGAGATACAAGTATTTGAAAATCTGGAATCTGAGGGTGCAAAAAAAAATCTAAATACTGAGAAAATCACCTTTAAAGTTGTCCAAATTCTTAGCAATGCATATTACTAATCAAAAATTACGTTTTGATATATTTATGGTAGGAAATTTACAAAATATCTTCATGGAACATGATCTTTACTTAATATCCTAATGATTTTTGGCATAAAAGAAAAATCTATCATTTTGACCCATATTTTTGGCTATTAAGTAAACCCCAGCGACTTAAAACTGGTTTTGTGGTCCAGGGTCACATACAGAGGCGGACAAAGTACTCAACTCCATTACTTGAGTGAAAGTACAGATACTGCTGGTCAAATATTACTCCACTACAAGTAAAAGTTGTAAAGACAGATTGTTACTTAAATAAAAGTACAGAAGTACCAAAAGTAAATTTTCTTTTTTATGTCAATGTACTGTTTTATTGTTGTACGTAATACTTGCAATACTTCTGAAGCAACTTAGAATACATTACACCTGCTGAATAAACTGACTAGCTTGTAGTATATTTTGAATAAAGAGCTTTTAGAATGTTAAAAACCTATGGGTGGGGGGTGGGAAATTAACACCCCTACCCACCCGTATGGTAGTGATCTCACACAGCTCTGACAGTGTGTGCACACATCTATGTGTAGCCATTCATCCACATTTGAACAGAGTGAACAGTGAAATCCTGTAAATACAGACTGATAAGGAAGGAAAAAAACCTGTTTTAAAACCCAGCAACACAACTGTAGATGTACAACTTTACAACAGCAACACTGCTTTAACAAAA